TTATGGCGGTGCTCTCTCTCTCTCTCTGTCTGTCTCTCTTGTTTCCAGTTAATACATCAAAGCAGAAGAGATTTTCATGCTTACTGTGATTTTTATGGATCAAATCAGTAATACGGCTGATTTTCGGCTATGAAAGTGGGATTCTACAGTTTTTTTTTGTTTTCGGCTATGAAAGTGGGATTCTACACAGTTTTTTTTTGTTACAGTATTTTTATTTAACAAAAAAAGGCAAGAAATAAACACTACTTGGCAGCAGTTCACCATAATGCCAGTGACGTGTTTTCTGTGCTTTTTATAGGAAAAATTAGATCTCTGTAATGTCTCAATGGTTTCTTCTAAAGCAAAACAGGTGCACATAGAGGTTTAGGTTTTGCTTTTCACGTTTTTCTTCTTAGAAAAGACTTCAATAATCTCACATGTGCTTCATGAGTTTCAGAAGAGATCTCAACGATGTCTCAACAACAGTTCAACAGTTCAATTTGCCAGATACCAAAGATGAAACACCATTTTTTGTTTAAACTTTTCTCATCAAAATTTTCACATTTTTCTGAGCAGGGGAATATATATATATTGACAGCACAGTTTTTTTTTGTTACAGTATTTTTATTTAACAAAAAAAGGCAAGAAATAAACACTACTTGGCAGCAGTTCACCATAATGCCAATGACGTGTTTTCTGTGCTTTTTATAGGAAAAACTAGATCTCTGTAATGTCTCAATGGTTTCTTCTAAAGCAAAACAGGTGCACATAGAGGTTTAGGTTTTGCTTTTCACGTTTTTCTTCTTAGAAAAGACTTCAATAATCTCACATGTGCTTCATGAGTTTCAGAAGAGATCTCAACGATGTCTCAACAACAGTTCAACAGTTCAATTTGCCAGATACCAAAGATTAAACACCATTTTTTGTTTAAACTTTTCTCATCAAAATTTTCACATTTTTCTGAGCTGGGGAATATATAATATATATATATATATTGACAGAAATGACAGAGTAAACTCTTTTGCAGTTTATTTCTCTTTTGCATTTTATTTTAATTTTTAAATACACATCTAAGAAACGGTTTATAATTAGATGGAATGTAACTGAGATGTTCATTACATCTCATGACCTATAAAAGTGTATTTCCTCTGGGATAAATGGAATTGGTAACACTTTATTTTAAGGACCAATTCTCACTATATTAACTAGCTGCTTATTAGCATGCACATTACCAGCATACTGGCTGTTTATTAGTGCTTAAAAAGCACATATGAATGCCTAATTCTATAAGACCATATTTTAGATCCCTTAATCCTACCCCACCTAAACTTAACATCTGCCTTACTAACTATTAATGAGCAGCAAATTAGGAGCGTATTGAGGGAAAACTTTCTTTAGATTATTAGTGAATATGTGTTCTCTATTCTAAAGTGTTACCATGGAATTATGTATAATAATCTCATCTTTTCTGAAAATATTTTCACCCCCTCCTGCATTTCTCTTAAAGCTGCTTTGACACAATCTGTATTGTTAAAAGCGCTATATAAATAAAGGTGACTTGACTTGACTCTTCAGTTTTAAAGCTTTATATCCAAATAGCTTGTACAAAAGTGCAATTCCTCCTCCAAAACCTCATTTCATCAGCCATATACAGCATATGACAGAATCAAGCCATATTTGAGCATGTCATCTCTTGTTATTAACGTAATCCCTTCACAAAAGATCATGAGAAAGTCCAGTTCAGGACACCGGCTAAAGATGTATAAATTGCTGTGAGCAAAACGACTGCGTTCTCCCACAGTCAGTACAATAGGCGGTGGTGCTCGGCGTAGACCTGTTTCATTATTCAGCGCTCGGGTTTCGTTCAGTCTGGTATTAGTGATGGGGATGTAGGCCAGCCATGCACACAATGTCTCCAGATGCCTGTGGGATGTGTTGTACCTCCCGCTTCTGAGAAACCGAGCCCCTGGAGCGCCAGTTAAACGATCAGCGGCGTGGAGGACGGTAGAGACTCGGTTCTTCAGCTACATAACAGACTCTTAAAGCGACTTCACTGATGATAAAGGGCTCGTTGTGAGTCTTATCACAGTGGTCAGTCACGGCTGTAACCTGTGAGAGCTGGGGGCAAAGTGAACGCTAAAGTTGGATAGTGTTTATTTGAGTTGTGCTGAAAGCTCCAAACAGTCAGCTGTCTCGCTGATCTCTCAACAGCGCCGATCTCGGCTATACACTATCCCCCGATGCTTGGGCCCGTCCCGTCTCGGGTTACCCTGCGAACAATGCCAACTCTGTTCTGACTGCCTATCTCACAGATTTCGTTGTACTAACATGTATACCTATGTCTGCAACGGACAGGGGATGAACAGATTATACCATGGCCTTGAATAGTTTCACTTCTACTTTGAAAGTGATCATGGCTGTGAAATGCATTCTGGGCATATAATCTTAACACAGCCTTAACAAGCATCGCCGGAACGTGAAAAACCCTCTCTCCGGGCCAGTCACTGCACATCGGCCAAAATCGTGGGCTGAAGCAAAGACAGCTCTGTGAATAGCAGTTCAGTTATTCCTGGCAGAAACATGTTACGGCTGTGAGTGCTGAGGGAAGCTGTCAACTTTTGACAGCCGAGTGTTGGGCGAACAGATTACTCAGCTCCTCAGCGATCCTGCTCTTATTAGCATTTACAACACACAACCATAACAACAGAAGGTCAAACATAGTCGAGCGCATATGGGTGATTCTTCAGTGAGGGAAATGATAATATTAAAGACAAAAAAAATGCTTTAAAAAAAATCTTTTTAATTTACACTATTGTTCAGAAGTTTGGGGTCAATGAGATTTTGTAACGTTTTTGAAAAAAGCCTCTTTTGCTCAACAATGCTGCATTAATTTGATCAAAAATACAGTAAATATTGTGAAATATTATTACAATAATATTACTCTTATTATAGCAGTTATTACTTTATTCATTGTCACTCTATCCTTCAGAAATCCTTTTAATATCCTGATTTGGTACTCAAGAAACATTTATTATTATCAGTGTTGAAAACAGTTATTTTTGTGGAAACAGTGGTACTTCTTTTTTCAGTAATCTTCAATGAATAGATATTTCAAAAGAACAGCATTTTGACAATGTTGACAATTTGAAGATCATAAATGGCATTCATTTGTCAATAATGTATGAATAATTTGTCAATAAAATGTCATAAATTTGTCAAAATGTCAATAATTATTTTTAATTATTTTTTAATAAGTATCATTATCAAATTGTTTAATATTCAAGTAATTTAATTTAAAAACATTTTATTTTATTTTTTATTGTTTTAAGTTAATCAACTGCTAGTTAACTTGCTGTTTTTGCATTTCCACTGATTATTCAACCGTCATGTTTCATTACCACAAAATGTATCAGGCACAATAAAAATTCACATCACACATTATACCAAATTCCAGATGATAAATGGTTTCATGTTTTTCACTGACCCTAATTGAAGAATCACCCGTATTCAGACTATAAATATCATTAGAACTGTATTGTTGCTTCTAAAAATACACACATTCAAAGGATTAGAAACATGATGCGTGTCATTCAAAGAAGTAATGTCTAATTCAAAACTCAATTCGGAGAAGCATTTGGCGGAACGCTGAGAAATAAAACAGACCCTGAAAGCTGTCTAATCCCCCTATGCTTGAGACAAGCATCCTTTAACTAAATTGCATTAAGATGGCTTAAGGTTTAATAGGCTTCTCAAAGCATTGCTGCACTTTGTGTTCACATCCTTCTGTTATCTTAGACAGCCAATCATAGTGCAGATTTAGCTGAATAAAAGTCTAAAAATCCCTTCATTTAAAAGCAGTGCTAAAACACAAAGCCTTATTGCACATGAGGAGTTCTGTAGTGTACACAGCAGCAGTTTGACAAATCGGTCCAGTGAAACTCCAGCCCAGAGCTGCTGGCCAAACCTTGGCCCATGCTGAAAAATGTGCTAGACAGGAGCCTCTAGAGCAGCCGCACTGACTTAAAGAAATAAATTCCATTAACTACTGCTGGGGCCTGTATGAAAGTAATCTGGTTAAGTTCTTAAGTGCCTCTGATTTGATTTCAGCACTCTTAAGAAGCAAAAAGTGCATGAAGTAAATAGTGATGAGTGACATAGGGAGAAACAATTGTGGTTTTCATGAATGCTTCATAACTTAAATGTGTAAGTGTGCCAATAAAAATAAATGCATGACAGAGAATGTCTTGTTAAAAAAATCAGCAAGGCTAATGTGTTTTTGGGCGGGCTGGCTGGCTGTGGAGTGATTGACAATCTATCCAATTAAGGGAACAATTACCTGCACGTACTTGGCCTGAATGCACCCACCTCCTAAGTTATCAAGAGGCTAATTGGCTCGAAGGGTATTGCGTTTTACATCCTTGTACTCAATCCAGAGGATTTCACATCATGCCATCTGCCTAACGCAAGTATAACATGTCTTTTATATGTTTTGTTTTGTGATTTATCATATTACAGAACGGAAATATCATGATGCTGTGAACCTTTAAATGTGGAAACATTCTTAGCCTATAAAAAAAAAAGTAATGAACTGCAACTATCAAATAGCTAAAAATATATAACAAGCTTTAACATCCGGAAGGTTTGTTTATCTTTCTTGTGACAAGGTTTATATATGCACCACAAATCACAGCATGTGATCTAACTGAATGCAACAGCAGTTCAGCTGCGTAAGTCACTAGATTTATTGCCAATACATAAGAGCTAAACACAATATAAAAGAAGAGTCAAAGTAGACATAAAAATGCCCATTAGAGGTTCTCAGAGGATTCTGTCTCATTGGAATAGGAAGTGATGTGATGACGCTATCATTGGTTAATTGAGTCTATCTATCAAACCTATCAATATGTGTTAGATATCATGCCTGCTAATGAATTCTTGTCCAGGGAAGCAAATAAACACAATACTAAAGGCATATTTAGTAATGGATGTTATGAAATGTGACCAAAAATAGGTTTACATACCTTCATTTGAAGGGGGGGGGGATGTCTCTATTTGTCAGAGCAACCTGCAATATTAATAAGTTTCAGTAAAAATTCTGCATTAGCCACCACACAATGTTAACCACAAGAGGACACTGTTTCAACACTGCAAAACCTGACAAGCACTCTTAAATCTTTTACTCTTTTAAAGCCCCAATGCTTTCAAAGGAAACGCACTAAAAATATTTTCTATGCTTCATAACATGAAGCAAACACATGGATTAAATGCAAACACATCAAAAATTGAGAAAAAAGGAAATAAATTATTTTAAAGCGAGTTTCATTTTTTCATAACCACTTGTTCAAGAATTATTGGAGTGAGCTATCCATTTCTTTCTAGGCATGTCTCATTTTCTCTGTAATATCTAAATGCACAGCAAGAACAACCAACCCAAATTCAAATCTTACATTAGTGAAGACCATTACATTTTATTCGATTTTTAGAAGCACTTACCCAAAATGCCAATGATACGATGAAAGGAGGATGATAAACTCTCTGGTCCCTCTCAGTGTCATCCAAAATACTGCCAATTTTTGTTTTCAACTATCCAACGCTTTTCAGAGTTCAGTCACTCCAGTATCAGAAGTGTTAAAAAGTTGCTTCCTTACATGTATAAACAAAAAAGATAGGTCCCTCCAAAATCTAGGAGCTCTGACAAAGTGTTTGTTTTTACCCTTTGAACATGTCCATCCTGAGCCAATCCTTTCCAGGGACTGAATCAGTATCCAGTAAAATCCTCCAAACACAGTAAATGTGAGGCTTTGAGCTCCCAACAGATTAAGTGCAAATCCAATCAAAGCAGGTTTGTGATCATGCAGGAGATCCTTTCCAGAGCGTGTCCGGCTGCACTCAGCTCGGCTCAAGAATGCTCCCTCAGTAGCGAACCGTGCATTCCTGTGACCCCTCCCTCAGCGGACACTCCCACCGCCTCCCACACCTCCCTCCTCAGCCCTGAGAGCGGCACCCTGGCGACAGAACAATTACAACACTCTCCTCCTCTCTGCTCAACACATGCGTATAGACAGTCTAGTGATTATGGCCATCCTCTTAATTACAGGCCCAGAATAACCAGAGGGGACAGGCAACAGGTTCACAATGCTGATGAGACACTTCCACCTCGCACCGAAATGGCACTTCACTCTTATTGGGTGACGGTGTCGGCTCCAATTAATGCTTCTGTGCTGGTATGCCACCCCGCTTCTTCTGTAGGGTGAGAAAAGGATAATCTGATTTAATGCAGTGGTTGCATTTGTACCTGTCACAGCTTATTATAAACGCATCACATAAATGTGTATATCATGCACACCGTGTTGCGGAATTCTTGGCGAGATCAGCCAATCGCAAAGCTCTTCGTCGGACAGAGGGTTGTGAATGTCAGTGGGAAAAGGGCATGGCGAGATGATCAATCACAAGACGGGATATTATCACAACAGATATATCACGTAATTTATTAGAAGCGTCAACACCCCCATGGGAGGAGGCACATGAAAGCTCCTGTACTCATCAGCCTCATGTCTTCCGTTGCTAATGCGGTGTCCTCTCTGAACCGGGGATGGGCTCTCTTGGGGAGATAGCAGAAGACTTCAAAGTCCATGGCCCGCCAGGACCGCGGGGCGGTCTCATTCAGCCGTTGCCTGTCGGCCCTGAGGGAGTTTCTAATTGCATTTCACAGGCCCTGAACAAAACAAGGCCTTGTTCAAGCTGAAGTTGGTCCTCATGCTGGGACGTAGCTGTGATTTTGCGACGACTCAGCGGGATGTGGATCTTCAGCTTGCCAGAAAAACTGTTTCAGCTTCCTCCTTCTGACTGCACGCACTGGGGTGCTTTCCTTTTCGATCTGTGGGTCTGGAGGCAGATAGATGTGTGGGCTCGAGTTGAAAAATTAATTCAGACCTACACAAGAGATTCCAAATCGTATGCAGGCCATCAAATATCATCAAACAGAAGAAGATTAGGGGGGTTTCTTTTAATAATTTATAAGCTCCAAATAAAAGCCAATGTACATTCTACTGGTTCTAGCTGAGCCTGATGTTATTGATGTGCTGTATTATCCTGACTATGGCGATTTGATGTCTAATACAAGCATAGTCCTTATTTATGAGTACTACAAAAGAAGTGCATTTTGTTTGAATCAGACACGCAACGTGTATGTGTCAGTAAATCCAAAGCTGCATTTGACATTGAGAGCCAGGATATTTCATCTCAGTGTTTGAATGGAAGCGGCGAGATATATGTGATGTTTTGAGATATACAAGCCACATACATTCACTGTTCTAACTGTTCGTAATTCTCAAGAAAACTTGAGGTTGAATTCAAAACAAACCCTAACTGCACCCATAACCCTTGCTGTAACTCTACCCTTATCAAACTTTAACCCTATTTTTATAAGAATTATTTATTTTAACACACAAATAGATAAATTTTTTATCAAAATGTTTGATATTCATAGATATCTTTCTGTATCACATGCAAGTTATAAGATTCTTGGATACTGCTGTTTATACAGGTACTACTTTTAACTACCATATTAATATTTAGTGCTAATAGTTAGAAATGGTCATTTGACCCAAATCTAAGTATTTAACAGCTTTTATTTTCATGACCAAATAATATCATCAAACATTAATTTCCCCCAAACTGAACTTAGTTCAGGATGTGGATTTAAATCACTGAATTATTGCACACAATTTTCCGTCATAATCTCATTTAGACAAAATTGAAATGATCAGAACATTTTAACAGTCCCATCACAGTTTAAGCAATTTCCAAAAACCATAATCATATATTACCAACACACAGCGTGTACGACTAACAAAATGGTAAATCACTGCTAAATTGTATCATCATCATCAAAGGCAGAAAATCGGAGTCAGATGCGATTACTGAAAATGAGCTGTGGAACGAGGGCTTGTATTAACTCATTCTAAATCATTCTGTGTAATTATGACAAAGAATCGGTTTACGATAGCGTATGTACATCTGTCCCAGCTTTAGCCACACCCCAAGGCCCTAAAAAACAAAGAAATCGAATGAAGAATGAGCACACACAAGTTTTTCCGTCTGTCTTTTTTTAAACACCGAAAGATTCTTGCAGACTCGCCTCAAAGGCAAAGTCATCAGTGCAGACTTGGCCTGATTGTTTTCACTGATTTTCTGTCTGAAGGAGGAGTAAATTGATGCCTTGGCCCTTCAGCTCCAGTCTGGCTATTAATTTCAAAGAGCAGGTTTGGCCCGATGGCCCTTTGAGAGAAAGCTGATTTAACTAGATAATTTTTAATGGGGATGGATTCCTCCATACTTGCCCTTTGGAATAGCTTCTGTCCTCCATAACCACTGGTCTGTAATGGCAAGCTCCTTCTGAGACTATTACTAAGGGGCAATTGGCCTTGAAATGAAATACATAATCTTAATGTACTGGAAGATGTGCGATCCGTTTGCTCATGGAATGGAACGACTCCACACCGCAGGAGTTTTCAGTCCATAAACAGAGAAGCTGCCGATGTCGCGCTGTCAGATCAACGTAGGCTTCGCAAGCGGGCGTACGCAAACTCGCATGACAGCCGCTGCTATTTCCAGGGAGAGATAATCAAAGGCATTTGACTTGTGAGAGCCATGGTGAAATACCAATATTCTTGGGTTTCAAAGAGTGTCTAACCCCTGAATAGGGTTCCCATACGCCCTTTCATTGGGATGACGCAATGTTGCATCTGCTCGGCAAGGGATAAATTAAGCATGTGAAAGTTTTAGTGAAATCCCCATTTTCCAGTTAATCAAATCTCCCCTAATCAAATTAGGAGCTGTAATTCCCCAGGATGCGTGTGACAAAAGTGTATTATTCCTGCCTTTGGAGCTGCGCGAGACAAATCAGCGTGAGGCCATTCCCCTCTGCTTCAGTGGCCCTGAATTGAATTGCTCTTCCGACTGACCCGAGCGCAAGAGGCAGGGTCGAGGTAAACTTTGGCAGTGTTTGAGTTCCCAGCTCATTAAAGAGCTGCCTCTGAGACCACCTCCAGAGACTGTTGAGCCATTCATTAATGAGGCACTTGTGTAATTTTCCCTGGACATCTGTGACGAACAGGCTCTCTTCCCAATGCTGCACAAAAAAACACCTTGGACAATGAAGCTCACGTTGATGGCTTCAGGAAACAATTAAGGCAAAACATCTAAAATATGTCATGCACTTGCATATAGAATCATCTTCAATCTTACAAAACTGCAGCGATCACCTGTGAGGACTTGTTTTCCACTGAATGAAAAGTCTTGAGGTTTGATTGAGCTGGCACATACAGGGAGCACAGAAAGTGCCCTTTTATACTCCCTTAGCAGGGCGGTAAATAGGCCCATGGAGCATTCGGATGCCACTTATGAAGTGCTCATAACCGTAATGATGTGTACCTCGCGGCTTTGCACAACAGCTTCCTTCCAAACCAATTCATATGGCAGCTAATGAATTTGCCACTTTAGACTTCATGAATTGTTCCTTTCCGTTCACTGCCCCCAGTGTTAACACCTCTTTATACGATTCTTAACACCTACTGCACTGCCTCTCAAGGTCACTCTGGCTGAACGGAGAGCTGGAGAAAGCCGCACAAAACCTGAGAGGTTCAATTCCTATTCATTTGTCACATTTGCATGCATGCCTCTATACTCAATCACACAAAGGCCACGGTAGCTTAGCCATTGCCCCCTACCAATTACAAATGAGTCCATTAAGCTGTCTGCATCGGGCCCAGCCTCTTCATGATAATGGCTTGTGAGATTTCCATCATAATCGCCGGGCTCCCACTGCAGTCATGAGTGCAGATGGAGGAGGAGAGTGGGTAAAGAGCTATCAAACGGGGCAAAGTGCATTCCTTCAGCTTTGTTTATGTGCAGGCGAACTCAAAAGCCAATGCTTTCTTTAGAACCGAAGCCTTTAAAGATTATTACAAAATTCTCATGTCATTTAGGGAGCTGCACGTGCAAAAACAGGGGCCTTGACACCGAAAAACTGATAACCAATTAATGGTATACAGATATTAAAATAATATTTTGTTTAAATAAATCAAAAATAAAAAACTACAATCAATCATTTTAAATGCTACAAGTCAGTTTAGGCATCACAACATTGTAATGTAGCCTACAGTATGAAAAACGGATATTCATTTTGAGATTTAATAAAGATTACATTAGCAGTTTTATCAAATTATTATTATTTTTTTTACTTAATATTAAATCATTTAATTTAATTATCCTTAAGTGAGATTGGCAGCAAAGGCAATCAAAAAGTAAAAATAGGGAAAATTAGCATGCAAAAAAAATCCAATATTGAGCGATATGATAAATTTAAAAAATCTCTGTATCGGTAGATATATTGTGCATCTCTAAGAAAAGAGACTAGTGCTTACGTAACCTCTGCAATATTATCCTGAACTATTAATTAACTTTCATTTTCAATGTCAATACAAAACAAAACCTAATACAGATTATCCTCATTAGTCACGTAATCAAATAATTCTTTATATTTTTTAGACTATTTGTTCAGTCAAATCAAGACAATTGTAGAAATGTCGACAACACTGAAGCAGATGGGATGTTTCTTGTGGTGTCAAATCATTTTCCTCATTGGTTCCAAAATTAAATGGCAGGGGGTGATTTATGCACCTTCTCTATTAGCGATCTTGGAAGAATAATGTGAACAGCTTTTATTACATGCTGGTTGTTACTCTGACACCTAATTTACAAAGTCTGTTAATGTCTAAAGGGAAATAAAAAATCATTTAGGCCAGACAATCAATCCCATAAACATGCATTTATCAAGCTCATTTGTGAAGCCTGACCTAGTTCTTTCATGCCATATAACAGGACAACTCAATAAAGGTCTGTTCAAAAGTGGAGGTAAATCACAGCTCATGAAAAACCCTGACAAGTCTCTGCATTTTAAAGCAATCTTGACCCTCAAATATATGTCATTTATAAGATTTTACACAAAAAAGTAT